ACATGAAGCATTCACTCTTATTTGCACATGCTATATGAGGATGTGATACAACCTCGTGCTTCTTTAAAAAAGGTAAACTGGCGACTCTCAAAACGTTGCAAAAAGATCCTCATCTGCGACAAATTACATCAATTTTTTTAGATCCTGCAGCACAAAAATCTGAGCTTGTCGAAGCTAGTGGAAATACATTCTTATTTTTATTATATGATCGACATAGGCTAGCAAAAGATTCAGATCAGTTGAGGTATTATAAATATAAAACCCTTACATCTCGTCAGGTACTTAGTAAAAATTTTGATTTAGCTACACCTCCAACAACTAACGCAGCTGAAAATCATTATTATATATCATTTACAAATGCAGTATTGGCTAAATAACGGAAAAGGCAACAGAATGGGGATGGACTAAAAAAACGGATACCTTAGTTCCAAAAACAACGTCAAACGCAGTGGCACCACAATTTGTATTGAAAATGATTTACTGTAATTGCAAATCTGGATGTAATAAACTATGAACATGTTTAAAATCCAATATGCCCTGTTCAAGCTTGTGTGGTAACTGTAATGGTATTTCTTGCGACAACAAACAAATCTCGGTCGATGAAGAACAAATCGAATAAAATTGTAAACTTCATTTTTTTTCTAGAGATGACAGTTTGAAAAGTTAGGTTACAAGTTGGTAACACATTTTTATTAAAATGGTCATAATTTGAATTATTGTTATTCGATTTGTAGGGGTATGTTTATAATGTATTTATCATAATGAAAAAGTGTTAAGATCGTAGATGAAATTTATGTCAAAAAGACATTCGCAAGTCCTACATTTTATTTTTTTCTTCCAACCTGTAGCCTAATTTTTCAAACTGTCACTGTATGTATTTTTAAAAACAAGTTATTTACAAAATGGTAACAAAGAGACCTTGGTTTAAGTGCAAATAGCCCCGACCGGGACAAGGTGTAGGCTGCTTTCGTACATTATTAGTACATATGTATTTAGTAAAGAATAGCTTTTACAATTTTGGTTAATTTTGAAATATTATTAAACTACCAATTAATTATTTCTTGAAAATATCACAAGAATTTTATTTTAGTTGAATTGATGCTAAATATCCATGTTATTTCTTAATAAGCTTAAAAATTTAGTAATTTGCATTTCGGTGATTCCTTTTAAAAATTGCTCGATTTTCAAAAAAATTTTGTACGTCACTGCGTCAGAATAATAAATCATTTTTTATTGACTCTGATAGAGTTTTTTATTTCCTTTAATTTTTATCTCTTGGAGTTTTTCGCTATAACGCACGGTTTTCGAGTTATTAACATTTTTTCCCAAAAAGTACCAAAATTCAAGATGGCGGCCGATTTTTTTTGATGACGCACACACCGGACAAATGGGGACTTTTAGTATGTTAATAAGGGTTACCAATGCTAACTATTTTCAATGGTCGCAGCTTTCTAAAAATTTTTGCAAATTCAAAATTATTTGCACTGGCCTATAAAAGTAACACATTAGTGACGATTAACTGCATTTTTAAAAAATCTATATTTCCTTAGGGAATAAAATTTTGTAGGTAATTACAAAATATGCTCCTTGGTGGCGCTCCTCGCTGATTGCCCGAAAAACTGGAACCGAGAACTCTCTGGCCTCCTCCAGATAAAGTGTTTATTATCCATGATTTCTTAGAGCGTCCTTAATTTCGGGTTATTTAACTTTAGTCCCTTTCTTAATAGGTTTTTAGGCAGAGCGCTGGCCTCTAAATATTTTACAGGTTGTTTGGAGTCGCCAAATTCCGAAACTGCGCGCTCTCTACACAGAAAACTTTTAATTTTATTTTAATTAGTTTGATTTGAGTTGTCGACGAGAATTTAGAGGCGAGTTTTCGGCCCAAGAATTTACTTTTTGACGAAGGTATTATTATTAATAAAGTGCTTTATTTCTATGAAAATGTTTCTTGGAATTGTTTACTTTTCAGACCCTTACAATCTTTTTCTAGATTATGACGTGTCAATAGACTTCTAGATTATTATTGGTGTCAATAGTGTATCTACCATATTTGCGTTGAATGCTTAGAGAAATAGCCGAAAAATATCGTACCACTGCTTGACGCATTTTGAAGAAGCATAGTTACTGCGAGTACTGCGTACTCTGTAGATTTTAATGAGTCTAAAATTTAGAATATTCTTGATAGATTCCTGTAGAAGAAAATGTTAATCAATTTGTTATATTGTAATATAATTTGTGATTGTTGTGCTGGATTTAAATTTTTGGTTAATTTAGTATTTTTGTATATCTTATACAGGGTGGCCCATAGAAAACGTTCCGCAAGGCATTACGGCCAGAGTATTCCTTCTTTAAAAAAATCCAAAAACACGTCAATTTTGTTTGTGAGGGGGACAACTTATCTAAGCGGGGCTGTCATCCCCCAAGTTTTTTCAAATGGGTAGGGGGGTCAAGTGGCACGAAATCGCAATGAAAAGAGCTTTCTATTCTCTATATTTCCCCGCTTCGTTTTTGAAAATCGGTCGAGGCGTTGAGAAAATATGAAGGATTGAAATTTAAAAAGTTTATTTAAACATTTATCAGAGTAAATGATAAGGATAAATTCCTTCGACCAATTTGCTGTTTTTTATTTCTAGATGGTTGCGCATTTTTTCACTTGCCACAAGGTTGAACGATCAGGTGCGGTAGTTGCTAGATAGATGTTCTGTGACTTGTACGTTGAAGTTCTTCTCAATATCGTTAAACTGACCCACAATAGAATTTCCAAAAATACCAGCCCACATGTTCAATTTCTGAGGGTTTTGTGTGTGCACCTCGTGAAAAACCCTGGGGTTGTCCTCGGCCCAGAACCGACAGTTGTGCCGATTAACTACACCGTTCAAAAAGAAAGTACACTCATCTGAAAAACACACATTAAATAGGAAATTATTATCATTCGCCACTCGTTCATTCATAGTTTCACAAAATTGCAAGCGACAATCAAAATCGTCTTCGTTGAGTTCTTGTACCAACTGAATTTTGTAAGGGTGGAACTTGTGTTTTTTTCCTTTGGACAAGTGTCGTAAGTTCGTACGATCACGTACGATTCACGCCGGTCCAATTGGCTAATTGTACTCAGCGTACTCTCCATGGCAACTTGGCCCAATATGAATACCTCCATAGCTTCATTTACTACAGAATTTTTCCTCTGCCTCTTTTTATTCATAACGGAACCAGTTTCGCGAAATTTTGCTACTAACTAGCGAACAATTTTGCCATAAAGGTGTTTGTCAGGATGGCCTTCATTGAATATCTGCGCAACCCGATACATTCATTATTTTTAAAATAAAGTTCGATTATTTCCACTTTTTATGGAAGTGAGTACACCATAGTTGCTAAAAAGTTTAACGATATTGAGAAGAACTTCAACGCACAAATCACAGAACAGCTATCTAGCAACTACCGCATCTGATCGTTCAACCTTGTGGCAAGTGAAAAAATGCGTAAACATCTAGAAATAATAAGAAAAAGCAGCAAAATGGTCCAAGGAATTTATCCTTATCATTTACTCTGATAAATGTTTAAATAAACTTTTCAAATTTCAATCCTTCATATTTTCTCATTGACTCGATCGATTTTCAAAAACGAAACGGGAAAGTATAGAGAATAGAAAGTCCTTTTCATTGCGGTACCACTTGACCCCCCTTCCCATTTGAAAAAATTGGGAGATGACACCCCCGCTTAGAGGGTTGAAGATTTTGCAATCATTTTTGGGGCAAAAGTTGTCCCCCTCACAAACCAAATTGACGTTTTCGATGGGTCACCCTGTATATCAAAAGCGTATAAACGTACAAACTATTCAAAATTAAAAATTATCTTTACTTTAAGGAGCTCTTTAAAATGACTCAAATTAGTTTTGCTCTAAAATATGAAACTTTTATCATCTCTCACGTGATTTCCTAAGTTCAGGTCGGCGGTGCAACACACGGTATGTTTTTTGCACACGCTGTAGAAGATTTTATTATAAATATAAACCAAAATCAATTCGGCCATAAATTGGTAATTAATTTCCCGTGTTTCGAATTTGCTCAGGTAAGACGTTGAAATTGAATTTGGGCCAACAACAGCAACACGGCCGGCGCTCCGACAACTACCGACAATTTATAATAATTATTGTCCTTTATCTATTAGCCGGCGACAAGGTAATCCTTTTGCGGGGCTGCCGCTTGTTTATAGGACGCTCGGCCTTAGCAGGAATCGTCTCACTGCCGGCTAATATCCTGCCAGCACCGGGATAAGCTTCCCTGAACCCGTCTTACCTTCATCGACCGTCATAATTCTTGCTTAGTGTCAACTTTTTCTTTCCGAAACACCTCAGTCTTATTGTTTTTCTGCTCTCGTTTGTTATTTTTTGTGCTGAGTGAAACATACATCTTAAACTAAGAAGGAGAAACTTTATTTAAAAAAAAAATAATTAGAATAATTTTTTATTCGACAAAACAGTACTAGAAATGTACGAAAATGTCGATACTTTTATGTTAGATACTCAATTTAGTACTGGTTTTATCAAATAGTAAATGAGAGGCAGAGCTGTAACTTTTGAGGCTATGTTTTTGTAAGCACTTTCTACAGGGTGTTTCAAAAAACATGTGCCATCTCTTGTGGATAGATTCCTAAAGTAAAAATAATATTCATTTTTTATAAATCGAAAAAAGATGATACGAAAAAAAGCAGAATCAGACCTATGTTGATATAAAAATTAATTTTATTTTTCTCGTCTCCCCACGAGGTGGCGCATGTTTTTTAAAACACCCTGTATATTCCTGGTTTAGTAAAAGCAAAATAATAATGTTTTTCTTTTTGTTTCAAATTATTGTAACGAAGATTTTTTGTTTCTAAATCTAATGTTGCGGCTGTCATGGCCTAAAAATAGATTTATTTTGAAAGAGACGCTTTTTGAAAATCATGCAGATTCGTTCTTGAAGCCCAATTTCCTTATCAAGCCAGTACTGCCAACTGTTCCGTATTGCGATAACCTCGGACACATCCCAGTCTAAATATCTAAATTACTGTTGTACCAGTACCCGTTCGAATACGTAACTTAATGTAATTTTGAGTTTTGGTTCGATTCATTTTATTTTTGTTTTGTTTTACGCGGTTTGTATATAAACAGTTCAATCGTCGGTCGTCTCTTTGTGCTTCTTAGAATACAGAGTGAGTGTACGTCCCTTGATTCAACGCATCTTTCTTTAACCAAGTGTTCTTATACAGGGTGCTCTAATATTCCGAGGACATAGAACTACTGCGTATTTTTGAAATCGAAATAAGTTTATTGCACACAATTTACCTCTAAACAAATGCTTCGTTTGTTCGTTAGAGGGCATCAAATTTTAAAAATGTAAACACATTTTTTAAGATATTTTACTAACCGATATTACGATTTGAATGAGATTTTGGGTGTCTTTGTTTTTCTAACATTTACTGACTCACATATAACTTTCATAAAAATCAAGAAAAAGTACAGGAAGGATGAAATCTACCCCCCCTATTTTTTTTTGGAAATATTCTTTATATTTTGGAAGGTAAATTGTGCCCAATTATTTTGACTTCAAAAATGCGCAGTAGTTTTATGTTTACGGAATATTGAGACACCCTGTATAAGGTGGACAACTTTTTAATAGCAGAGTTTTATGAGCCCTTAAAAAAATATTCTAAGTAGAATGTATCATATTATTGGTGAAAAAAACTAATAAATAAATAAAAATAATTAAAAAACATCTCAAAAAATGTTGTTAATCCTATATTATGTTATTATTTTCATATTAATACAATTAGAAATCTTCGAACTTATTTTAAACGTGTTCTCTATCCATATCCATCCAAATAAATCACAAAGAACCGCCCTGTATACACTATATATGTTATATTATATTTCTAGAATGAACAATCAACTTTGGTTCGTACGAGCGCTGCTAACAATTGCTCTTTTCACCGAATTATCGAACGCAACGTGCACCTCGAGCGTAGCCATAACTACCTGTTCGTGGGACAGCCTCAAAGAGCACAAACCTCTACGCCTTGACAACTACAAACAATACCTCAGCATTTCCAAAGGAAACTTGGAACTAATACCGAGCGACAGTTTCAAATTTCTGCCGCAATTGGCGATTTTACAAGTGAAGTACAACAAAGTGCGAAAATTAGACGACGACTCGTTTAAAGGACTTAACGCTCTCCAGGAGCTCAATCTATATGACAACAGGCTCACATTGATCAGTAGCAAAGTTTTTAAAACACTGCCTCTCTTAGAAAAACTTGACCTAGGCATGAATAAAATAAGCAATATTGAAGACGGAGCTTTCGATAGCCTATCAAAACTGAAGCATTTAAATCTAGGATTCAATAATTTAAAAGTTATACCAAAAACAATAAATTCTCTCATTAATTTACAAATTTTGAATTTAAATAACAACCAAATAAGTTCACTCAAAGCAAATACATTTACTTCACTGAAGAAACTCGAAACCCTTCAATTAAACGACAATAATATTCAGTCAATCGAAAGGAATTTCTTTAAACATTTCAACAGTTTATCTAAGTTAGATTTAAGCTCGAACTACTTAGCTAATTTAGATGTGGAAGACTTGAAAGAAGGCGCTGTGAAATTATCAGCTATCAAGTTATCGATAAATAGTTTTAAATGTGATGTTTTGAGTCAAATTGTGTCAAAATTCAAAAGATATAATATCGAAGTTACTCGAGGAGTGTCGAAGAGTAAAAATAACATTGAAGGAATAACATGCATTGCCAAATAAATCTATTATTTTTTTATTTGTGTCTCTATTTTGTACTACTTTTCAATTATAAGTGAGTGTTTTATTTTACAACTATTAAATCTGTTTCGTTTCATAATAATTGCTGTAAAAGCAAAGTGTTTTATTTACTTTATGATGAGCTTATTTAGTGCTCAGATATCTGTACATATCTTTACAAAAATAAACAAATAATTTTAAAGATAATTAAATATTAATCAGAATTATCAATCAATTAAATTATATTTGGTATTTTCCTTATATTTTTCATATATATTTCGATTTTTTAGATATAAAAATATACGCGACGTTTTCCTTCAAGGTAAAAAGAACAAAAATTCTCAGTTTTCATCTTCTCATAAACAACTTATGACGCCCCAGAGGGTACGAAGTCGTAAAGAAGAACAGGTTTTTCGCAAGATTATATCATCTTAGATTTCTATTGGATATTTCCTTTTTTTGTTTTTTTTTTGTGCCATTTTCGTTCCAAGAAAACATTGATATTTCGTTTTGGCGCTCTGGATTAAATAAATATTACCTTTATGTATTTTCTTTTTATGGTTTATATTGTCAGGTGCTGACATATAAATTTATTTTTATGTTAAATATATGTATTATTTTATACCAATCCAACTCATCTGTCTAGTTTAATATAATCATAAAAAGAGAGTTCTAGGTCGATTCTACTGGAATCTTTTCAACTAAATTTCCTAGCTAATCTATGAATAAAGATATTTATTTGACAGACTAACCGAACCGTGTGTTATTCTTCAATAATATCTTTATATTTTGGACAATTCACACAATACCTTTATAAATTATAGTCTATGTGTTATTCTGATGTATAAGCTATATTATGGTAAAGTTCCATTAAAATCCATTCAGTAGTTTTTGCGTGAAAGAGTAACAAACATCCATTTATACATACAAACTTTTGCGATTATAATATTAGTAACGATTTTTCATCTCAATAATATTTCTGGTAAAGAAATTAACATGGAAATTTTTGCTATATACTGTTAAGATAATCCCACTGAAAAATAACGTTATTTTCTTATTACGGCAGGGACAAACGTCAGGCGGCCCTAATATATATCAAGGGATCAAGGATTGTGATGTTTTCCTTCGGTAAATATAAGGACAAGCAAGCGGTGTGGCGGTGGTGCCAAGGTGCCGTCACCTCGTCATAATTTAGGATTAGAGTCATGCCCGGATAATTTATGTCAGGGAAATTTTAATATCGAACAGATGTTCCAGAGCGTGGTGAAAATTCGAGGAGCGCATTTCACAGTTTACGACTTTTAAAAAGTGATAGATGGTGGCGAGCTTCTTTGCCAAAGGAAAAACGCTTTAATAAAAACATATAAAACTTTTCTGGTCTTGTTCACTACGCCTGACGATTACTCTCTTTAAGTTATTGGTTCAACCGTAAGGATAAAAAGAGATGCTTTTTTTAAATGATTAATACAGTGTTTTCTCTGTCTTAATTATAGAAATAGACTGTGTTTTTAATTAAAATTCAGATCATGTAAAGAGTAAATTAATTTATTAATAATATTAATTGTTTAAATATGTGCATAAGTATAATATTTTAATTACTATTTCTATCTAAATATTTTCATACTGACTCACAAGTAATTTAGAGTCAAAAATCTCGAGTGATTGAATTATGGAGAATAACAGATTTCGGGTTGACAGGAAATGAGAGCGAGAAATCAATCGAACTCACTTTCGGGCACATGCAGGAAATAATAGGACGACATAACAGGAAATTAAAATAAAGGTGCGTATCCAAGCGGCTGAGCAAACCAATATTCAGTGGGATATTGAGTCAAGTTGGGCCTATTATACTAGCTCTGTAACATATGTAAATACAAAATGTAATAAATTTTAATCGAAACAATAGTTTTAACAAGATTTTCTCTAAAATATTTGGCCAAATAAGCATAAACAAAGTTTAGATGCCAAATTTATTTGCAGTGTTTCATTTTACGCTAAGTTTTCCTCCAAGTTTACCTATTCGCAGGCTTTCTGCTACCTCTATCTACACCTGTAATTCGCAAATTTGCAAAATAGAAAACAACCTCCGAGTTCGTAGAACTTAATGCCCAGAATTACTTTCGGTGGATATCTCGGAAGTTTAGCCGCAGTAGAGAAACTAATCGTTAAATTATGTGAAAATACTGGATACATCCAGATATTCTACACAGAAAACCAGAATGGACGTTTGTTACAACATTTTTCTCTTTTATGTATAAGGAAGCGTGAGACTGAACATACCCCAATAAGAAACATTGCTATTGCAATAATAATATCCGCTTATTTAGCACAATGCAGGAATTCTAATTTGTTTTAGATAAGTTAATTTAATCCGGTTAATTCTGTTGCAACATCCGAACTACTGCCTGTGAGAACTGAAAATATCTATTTTAATTAATAGTTTTGATGTTGCGGAGTTAGAAACATTTCTGTTGCTTATTTACCAAGTTTTGTTTAAATTAATTTTCAACTGATAAATATTTTTGCGTAAAATTACATTAATTTTAATAACTGACTTTCATATTTTTTAAAAAGTAACTATTAATATCCTTATAATAGAGGGGTTCAATAATTAACACATTATAATTCTAATTCATTATAGTTCTAATAAAACAGATATATTATTTACAATAAAATATATATTTACATTTGGGAGATATGTTACATAATAAAAACAAGAAGAAACTATATCTAAAAATATACAACCGTTAAAGTGGAGAAAGCACTCTTATTTTGATTCAGTAATTTATTTATCATATTCATCGTAAACTCTTCTGCACATTCCCTTAAGTGATATTTCTCCATCACCACATGGAGAAATAATAGTATAATTTAACTGTGAACGCAGATTTCTTGGCCTGTTGAACGGAGCCATTTCAACTGAATTTATAAAAAAAATCATCACCAAAAAAATGACCAATAAACTCAAGAATTGTTTCTTTCGGCACAGTATCATTTTTCGAAAAGTCTCTTGTGCTTCTGAATGCTTTCAATACTTTGTTCGGTATAATCTACATTACGAATTTTCACTCTTATCAAAATATTCATTGATAACAAACAAGTTATTTTATTGGACCGATCATTTCTGTTCTTATAATCTGTAAACTAAGATTTCAGTAATTTATACGTGGGGGTAAACGGTATATTATTTAATGCGAAACAAAATTATTACTATAATGTTTATTATTTATACCGGGTGGGGCAACGGCGTTGGAAACATAGGAAATCCCATTCAAACTTTAAACTGTTCAAATATTAGCTCACCTATTGATTTTACAGCGAAGTCGTACATAGAGTTTTTAAAGGTCTGCGTGTGCTGAATACACGTGTCAAATTTGAACAAACTGATTTTAACTAATTTAAGAAAAACTGCATCTATTTTAGATTGTAACCGAACAGGTATCAATGCAAAACCAGGCAAATGTTAACATACCTTAAGTTGTCAACCTAAGATTTTGCTTTGCATTTTCTGTTTCCAACGCCGATTTACCACCCGGTATAACATTTTGTAGGCTCTAGTTTTTTTGAATTTACTCTACTTTTTTTTTACTCTACTACCTTTAGAAAATGTAAAATTCGTAATTAAAATAAACTAAAAATATTTTCATAATACATAAAATTTTATGCACTTTTAGGATATTCATCTCTTAAATGAAATATTGAAAATTCAATTTTGGTAGGGCAATATATTACTATTCTTATTATTATAAAAAAAATTATATATTTTTTAATTGAAACGCTGCTCAACTAATGATTATCACATTATCACATTTTTATCGGTATTTCTCAAAGATTCGTACTGAGGGTCAACGAATACATAAATCAAAATAAATAATAAAAAAATCTCTAAATAGCAAAATTAAATCAAAGACTCGATTATTTCGATCGCGTCTCTCTGTAACTTTTGCTCGTTTGCAAGAAATTTATTTCCATTGATGATTTAATTCGATAATTATGTGTCAAAACAGAACGTATATGTATCTAGTAAAAATAAACAATCTATACCAGCTGTACAATTTGTTTAGCGTAACCGAGACTTTCGCAGAATCAAATTGTTTGTTTTCGTTTTATTGTTTTATGTGGGGAATTTCGTCGAACCGAATGTGTGCATTTAAAATTACAACAACAGTGATGCAATATACGGCGCTGGCTAGATGCAAAACACCAACAAAAAGTAATTATTGTTAAGAAGTATAAGAGATATGTAAAACCATCAAAAACAGAAAATGTAAAAAAATACCTCGCGACCATGGTGAGGTCCACACAATAGGAATTGACCAAGGAGGCAATCGAGAAAAAAAGATATATCCTCTATTATAGATTCGGGACAACACCGATGTCAGGTCTAAGGAGAGACCAAGTTACAGATGTGGAGAAAATGAAGACAAATCATCCAGCCTCCACTTTATGGGTATCTCAGCCGTATGACCAGGAGGCCGGAGAAAAGCTCCTCAACTGTGAAGGGCACGGAAAGCCAAACCCCAACCGTGGAAGGATGTATATCCACGGAGGAGGTAGATGTCCGAAGAACATCTGTTGTCAGAGGAGAATGGGAAATACCCCCTGCCCCCTCTACAACAGGAAAATCTCTATATTATGAGTTATAGACTGTATGATGAGTCTCAAGAAAGATCTTTAATGTCGCGGTGACTAACCCCCTCCCACTCATTCTACATTCTACATTCTACATTCTACATCGCTACCCTAATTTTTTTAATTTCGACATTGACACACTCACCAATTATCAAAACTCTAAGGTACCTCTAGAAGTCGTTAACTTTAAGCCAATAAAGAGAGAAAAAAAATATCGAAATTTCATTATTTATTAAGTAAAATAATAATGAGTGTTAAAAGTTAGGGTTTAGATACTATCGGTAACTGACTATTCTGTAATCGACACGATGTTGCACGAATGAGATTTGATTGCCTTGGTTTCAACTTTTTTTAGTAATTCTCTGATTCAATTTTAATTGATAGCTCTATCAATCGAGTGAACAATTTTCTTTTGACATTTTAATTGTCGAAAACGAATAAGAATATCCAGGGGTGGCTTTTC